ATATGTTTTCTTTGTTTGCATCCTGGTCATTCAGAAATTCTGGGTAGTTTTCTAGTAGGGAAAACACTTTAAAAAAATAATAATAAATTTATTTATTTATTTTTATTTTTGGCTGCATTGGGTCTTTGTTGCTGCGCTTGGGCCTTCTCCAGTTGCAGCGAGCAGGGGCTACTCTTCGTTGCGGTGTGCAGGCTTCTCACTGCGGTGGCTTCTCCTGTTGTGGAGCATGGGCTCTAGGTGCACGGCCTCAGAAGTTGCGGCTCACAGGCTGTAGAGCACAGGCTCAGTAATTGTGGCGCATGGGCTTAGTTGCTCTACGGCATGTGGGATCTTCCCGGACCAGAGCTTGAACGTTGGCAGGCGGATTCTTAACCACTGCACCACCAGGGAAGCCCAGAGAATGCACTTTTTGATAGGTACATTAACAGAATTTCAGATTTGAAAAAGGCCCTGGGCATGTCCAGACTACTCCCTGTCACACATAGAAGAATTCTGTAATTTGCTTGACAGGTGATTATGGTTTTTCTGGTCACTACTTTCAATGATAAAGATATGGCTTCATTAAGCATTGTGGGTCATTGTTGGGAATTCCAGGGTATTACATTTTTTCCTGAGTTAAACATCTGTCTTTCTGTAACTTCTACTTACTGGTCCATTTTGTACCCTCAGCATCACAGAATAAGTTTCTCTCTTCCACATTGCAACCATCATATATTTGAAGCTAACCAGCTTGCCTCCCTTCAGCTAACTCCTTTCCAGATTAAAGAATACCAGTTTCTAAGACTTTTCCTCTTACGAAATGGCTTTTTGGTGTTTTACTATACTCTAGGAGATCCCTCCACTTAATGAATATCTCACTTAAGATGTGGAACTTGAAAATGAGCACAGACCATCAGGTGTTCTTTTCATCTCCAGCTCCCTTTTAAGAAGAAGCACAATTTAAAAAACATGTTAACAGCAATATTTCTTTTTTTTTTTACATCTTTATTGGAGTATAATTGCTTTACAATGGTGTGTTAGTTTCTGCTTTATAACAATATTTCTTGCTTACTAGAAAAAAACAAAACAATTTGCCATGACATATGGAATTGGGACAAAAGGAATTTGAGGAAGTGTCTTTCCTTACTGATGTTAAGGCTAAACGTTCTAGGTTCAGCATTATTACAAGCATTGATTTTGCCTCCTATCTTTTCCAGGAATATCTGCATTGAGTTTACTCTTAAGATTACAAAAATCATTTGATATTTCTGTTTACAAGAATTATTCAACTTTATGCTACACTGAACTGATTTTAATGCTTCAGATAGTTTTTAACAAGGTGGATATATATATGTTCTTACATAACTGAAAATCTGTTGTTTTTACATGTGACAAACAACTTGATTCAGTGAAAGACTCTTGAAAATAACCTTTTCTCTTCAAAATTCTTTGTAGATTTTTCATTCTCTTTTTGTTTCTTTTTTTTTTTTTTTTTTTTTTTTTTTTGCGGTACGCGGGCCTCTCACTGCTGTGGCCTCTCCCGTTGCGGAGCACAGGCTCTGGACGCGCAGGCTCAGCGGCCATGGCTCACGGGCCCAGCCGCTCCGCGGCATGTGGGATCCTCCCGGACCGGGGCACGAACCCATGTCCCCTGCATCGGCAGGCGGACTCTCAACCACTGCGCCACCAGGGAAGCCCTTTCATTCTCTTTTAACATTTAATATTGCAGAGCAGTCTGAGGTTGGCCTAAGTTTTGTCCTTTGTAATTCAAAAATTTTGTTAGGATGTCTGCAAGTTTGGCTTTTTTTAAAATTGATTTTGCTGAAAAGGTAGTGAACTTTTTCAAGATCTTTTTTCAGCTCAAGGTATTATTCATATATAATGCCTTGATGGGTTGCTTTTCTCCCATTTGTTCTAGTCTCTTCAGTTTTGCTTTGAGTATTATTAAATACTTTCTCTGCCTTTCAGTTTCCCTCATTGTTTTCATTTTGCTCTCCTTTTCCTTTGCCTTCTGGAACAGTATCTCAGGTTTTCTTGTAATTTACAGATTCATTTTCCACAGTTTTAGTTCTGTGCTTTTTTGATTTCTGTATGAATTTTAATTGCAGTTTTCATTTCCTTGCATCCTCCTTTTTTAAAAAATAAAATCAGATTCTTTTGTCTAAGTTCATATCTTTCATTTCAGCCTAGTTATCTCTGTCTTCTTTACTGTCATATTTTGTTTATCCTGCTCCATACGACAGGTCAGCCAGTGCAGAACTGTCAGGAGCTCTCTGAGCACAAACACTTTTATGTACTTTATATTCTTCCCTTTATATACCTTTCCAGAGTCTCTCTTCCATTAGCATCCTATTTTCTAGAGGAAGGGTTTTTGTTTATTTGTTTTTTGGAGGAAGGTCTTTTGAAAGTTTTATTGAATAAACAAACATGGGATTGCTCTAATGGTTACATTACATACTGATGATAGTACAGCTCAAGAGGAAAGTGGGTAAGTGTTAGATGAATGTGGGTTATGCTCTAAGCCTCACCACAATTGCAGAGATTGCAGAGGTGACAAATGATGATGTTGGGAAGAACTATGCTTTAATAATCCTTTGTAGTGCAGATTCAGTTGGCATTCCCATTTCTAGAAATGCCTTTGCCCCTCATAATAGAATTATTTTCAGTATCATGTTCCACTGCCTTATACACTCTCACTTGCTACTGTATTCCCAGCACCTAGTTTAGTGCCTGGTACTTAGTAGGCAATTAATACACGTTTTTTTGAATGAATTAGTGTATAGTATAGAGAATTCCAAACATTTTACTAAAAATTTCTTCAGAATTCTAGATCATTATCAGAGGTGTCATTTCTTTAAGTTTTTCAGAGATTATGTTGCCTTTACCTTGTGGGTGGCATTTTTTCATAGTTCTTTTTTTTTTTTAATTTATGTATTTATGGCTGCATTGGGTCTTTGTTGCTGCACACGGGTTTTCTCTAGTTGTGGTGAGCGGGGACTACTCCTCATTGCAGTGTGCGGGCTTCTCATTGCAGTGGCTTCTCTTGTTGCCAAGCACGGGCTCTAGGTTCACAGTCTTCAGTAGCTGTTGCACGCGGGCTGAGTAGTTGTGGCTCACGGGTTCTAGAGCACAGGCTCAGTAGTTGTGGTGTATGGGCTTAGTTGCTCTGCGGCATGTGGGATCTTCCCGGACCAGGGCTCGAACCCATGTCCCCTGCATTGACAGGTGGATTCTTAACCACTGTGCCACCAGGGATGCCCCATAGTTCTTATGTCATGTTTTCCCCCACACACAGTTTTTGCTCATCGTTTTATGAAGTAAGATCTATGTGGACTCAGTGTCAGCAATGGTTGGTTGTTGTTGGCACTAAGCTCTCTACTTGGGTAAAGGATGTATTTTCTTCTCAGATCTATGGCTAAATGGCAGGTTAATGTGCACTCCTTTCTCTCTTACATCCCAGTTGCTATCAAGCATTCACTTGGTATAGCTCTGCTCTCCTAGGTGACATCTCTTGAACTGCACCCTGGTTCTTTGACACTGCCTTGAGAGAGCAGGTGGAAAAGTACAATGTGTCTTATGTCTGTTAAGAGATATCTATGGCATTTACCTGTTAGATATTTACTTTGTAGGATTCATTGTGCCACCTCTGTTTTACCCTTTCTGCTCTGTCATCTTATGAGAGTTATTTTCTATATGCATATAGAAAGATGGTAAACGGGAGTGAGCAAGAACAGAAATCTTTGGTTTCATCATAAAGTAATAGCTGGGGGCTTCCCTGGTGGCACAGTGGTTGAGAGTCTGCCTGCCGATGCAGGGGACACAGGTTCGTGCCCCGGTCCAGGAAGATCCCACATGCCGCGGAGCGGCTGGGCCTGTGAGCCATGGCCGCTGAGCCTGCGCATCCAGAGCCTGTGCTCCGCAACGGGAGAGGCCACAACAGTGAGAGGCCCACATACAGCAAAAAATAAAAATAAAAAAATAATAAAGTAACAGCTGGATGGTGTATGTTGGCTGCCAGGTTTTCTAGATGGTACACTCCCCAAGGAGAGGTATAAATTGCCTTTTTTACCACCCACCCCATTCCACCCCCTTTTTTAGCTATCTCTGTTCCATGTGGTGAGGCCCTGGTATTTATGAATATAGTGCCATCAGTCTTATACTCTTAGAATGTAGAGACTTCTCCCACATTCTAACATGAGGTTTTTTAGTAGTGTTCAGTTACTGATAGGGTAATATATTTTCTGTGTGTGTGTGTGTGTGTGTGTGTGTGTGTGTGTGTGTGTGTGTGTCTCTTCCTGGGTATTTTAGTGGGTAGTGAGAAAGACTACATTGAATTCTGGTATTTAGACATAATTTGAAACCTGGAGTTTAATAAGGCTGGCTTAACTGAACTGAAGCTGATTGGTTAAGTCCTCTCTGAGGATTGTCTCCTCTAATTGCAGGTTTTGCCCCTATTCTGATATTGTATTTTTCCCCAGTTCTGTTTGCTTTTCTCTTTTACTTACCCACAATTAGACACCACCCCCCCCCAGCAGTAGAATGACAAGGAATCTATATTATTTTTAGTAGGGACAGGCCCTGTTAGTAGAGGGATTTAGCCTTTGCTAGACTATGTTCTGAATCTCTGATAGTTCAAGAAGAAGCAAGGAGAAAAGAGGTATGAGTAAAGTTGTGCTAGAGGATGTGCCAGGGCCTTTATTGATTGAGGGAGGATTGCTGCCTGGCAGTGGTAGTAGAAATAAGTCTCTTGGGAATGGGAAACTAACTCTAGAGGATTCCTAGTTAAGACCGCTGAATTTCCGGGCAATTGCAAATATTGTACTCTCCCCTGTGGAGATGGAGTGGGAATTAGCTTTTCCATTGGTCCAATGTGACTTGGTTAGAAATACAACTGAACCTGTTTGTCTTGTCTATTGCGGTGTGATAACCACCTAGGAAGGGTCTGTTTTTTGTGGGGGTTTATTTCAGCCTCTTTGCCTGTATTGTTTCCTTTAACAGCTCTTTAAATTTTCTTTTTCCAGCAATGATGGTGTCCACTGGGCATATACTGACCAATGTGGCAGGTCTGAGAACATAGCTGAAGCTGAAAATAGGAAAGCTGGGGGCAAGGAAGAGCCTTGAATCTTGAGGTGGGACGTTGACTCTAAGATGTCCTTGAGCAGTGGAGCCTCCGGAGGGAAAGGAGTGGATGCAAACCCGGTTGAGACATACGACAGTGGGGATGAATGGGACATTGGAGTAGGGAATCTCATCATTGACCTGGACGCCGATCTGGAAAAGGACCAGCAGAAACTGGAAATGTCAGGCTCAAAGGAGGTGGGGATACCAGCTCCCAATGCTGTGGCTACACTACCAGACAACATCAAGTTTGTGACCCCAGTGCCAGGTCCTCAAGGGAAGGAAGGCAAATCAAAATCTAAAAGGAATAAGAGTGGCAAAGACACTAGCAAACCCACTCCAGGGACGTCCCTGTTCACTCCAAGTGAGGGGGCAGCTAGCAAGAAAGAGGTGCAGGGACGCTCAGGAGATGGTGCCAATGCAGGAAGCCTGGTTGCTGCTATTGCTCCCAAGGGCTCAGAGAAGGCGGCTAAGGCATCCCGCAGTGTAGCCGGCTCCAAAAAGGAGAAGGAGAACAGCTCATCTAAGAGCAAGAAGGAGAGAAGCGAAGGAGTGGGGACTTGTTCAGAAAAGGATCCTGGGGTCCTCCAGCCAGTTCCCTTGGGAGGACGTGGTGGTCAGTATGATGGAAGCACAGGGGTGGATCCAGGAGCTGTGGAGCCACTTGGGAGTATAGCTATTGAGCCTGGGGCAGCGCTCAACCCTTTGGGAGCTAAACCGGAGCCAGAGGAAGGGGAGAATGAGTGTCGCCCGCTAAAGAAAGTCAAGTCTGAAAAGGTAAGAGGTGGCCAGATCTGGCTGCCCACTGCCAGTCAGAACTGCCCTGGACTAACTGCCAAATGCTATGTGCACTCTGTGGGAGCCTCATTAGTTTCTGGGTAATGACCAATTACAAGGTCAGAGCAGCTGGTAATGATAACGTGGTTTTGTTCCAAATTAGGGGATTCCCTACAGACTCATTAACAGCAGTCCTGGACATTTTGGAGAAGAGTGTCTGTTGTTGGGGGTAGCTGCTTGGTAGAATGAATTTTCCATAAGTTAAGAACCTCCAGCCTTGTCCTTGTCCTACCTCAGCTACTTGTTACTAGAGGCTGGCATCAACCTTTATATGGTTCCCAGCTTGATTGACATTTCATCCTTAGAGTCATTGATAAACTTAACAAGTTGATAAACTTAATAGGCTTTCAATTGAGTGCTGTTTTTAATGGGATAAATGGTGCTTCCGGTCTCTGGAAGAGAAAAGGGTTAAGTAAGTTTCATTACATGATATCTACCAAGTCTTCTATTGGTGATTGCCAAAGAGCAAAAGGTCACAGTTTGGGGCAGGTAAACAGTGGAGCAGGAGGTACTGAGGTACTTAATCAGGTCTTATGGATTAGTGTAGTGGCTATGAAAAGTTTGGCCTTGAAAGAGATTCTTTGGCCACTAAAGTATAGTTCTTGGCTGGGTATCTCCCTCAGCTATTGGGAATCAACGTCTCCTGGTGGTTTAATAGCTGCCAAACGGTGTAATGATACCTTGCCTTCTGCTTGACTTGGAAGGACAGGTGCCTGCAGCCCCACAAGGGGTTCTACTTCTTTGGGAAGATGATCTTAGTTCATGTCTCAGTAAATGGAGTTTGCAGGCCTAGACCAGAGTGGGTGTGAATCTAGGGTCAGCTCAGGCTGCCTTAAACTTCTGCAGCTTACAATTTCCTGCAAAGCGGCTGGCCTGGTAATGTGCTGTTCACTGGCTCTTGATTTTCCGCTCTGTGTTCTGCTCACCCTATGCTTTCAGCTGATCCCAGCAGATGCAGTATAAATTGATTTCTCTGTAATTGCATCAGCTGTAGCAGGGAATACCTCTTTCCATATGTAAGTGTTAATAGAGGCAGGATGTGTATGTTTGGGTGGTGGTGTCCTCTCAGTGCTAGGTTACGCTTTCTTTGCTCTAGGTGTTTTGGTCCTTGCCTCTGGCACATCTGTAACTCTTAGCAACATCTGGGCTTCCCTGGTAACAGGGCTGTGAGTTTTCTTCCACTAATAACACAATGGTTTATTCCCTTTTACCAGTGGCAGCTGCCAGAGAGTCTGCCTATGTTTAGGTGGCAGATGCTACAGTCCACCTCAGCAGAGTCAAGTTCCAGCTGGTTACTGGCATGGTGCATCCTGTGCTGGCTGTGATTTACCATTTTCTCTGGGGTGCAGATGGATAATACTGTTTTAAAGAGGCCTAGGAGTACCAGGAATTCTTGCTTCTGTTCCAGGCCCATTAGACTGTTCCCTACATCTGGCTCCAGTAAACTCTTGCCGTATATCCGTGTTCATAATCTTTGTTCTTCCTGTGCTGAAAAGTGGCCACTTCTGAGGGTGGCCTTCAGTTTCCTTTCTTTTTAGAACTCAACTCATGTTGCAATCTTCTAAGCCCAGTAGTGGTCTGTGGATGAAAGGATTAATGGTGCTTATCTTAATATTGGATTTAAGTCTAAATGTCCTTGAGAGTCTTCAGCAGAGAAGCAATGGAACCCTTTTTCTTCCTACAGGTTCAGGGACTGGTTGGGTGGCTGCCCTTCAGATTATAATTGGGCTGAAAGATGCAGTATATTCAGCTAAGAATACACCTTGGTGACAGGGAGGTTTGCTTCTTAATAATATAGCTGTGTTATATGCCTTGTCACCCAAAAAGACTGAGATTGGGGCAGTGGAATGAGAGAGAAAAGGGAAAGAGACTGTGCTTCTGTTTTTGGAGGAAAGGTAAAATTACTGAGAAGTACTCTTAGAAGAGGAAATTTGCTGTGCAGTTTGATGTCACTCTAAGCAAGAACCTGCTTTCTCAGTTCTTTTCCCTGTTCCCTCAACCCTCTTGAACAGTCTGGTTCTGTGGGGTGCCATTCTAAAGCATTTGGCCATTGAAATAAATAATTATGTAAATAAATACTTGGAAGTTGCTAGGAGATGAAAACACTGTGCAGAGAGACAGCGTTTCTGGAATGGGAGGAGGGAAAGATGCAAAAGGGAACGCAGGCTAGGAATCTCGGAGTGGAGCAGCTTTTGAGAAGCAAGGATCCCAGGGTGTTGGGCATAAGAGGTGTTTGAGTCAGTGTTTGGTGATTAATACTATATAACTCATAAGCTAAGTCTTTAAAAACTTCCTTTTTTGTCTCTGAGATATGGGTTGCCTATGGCTTAACTGGTTTGGAATGTTTCTTCCATGTGGGGGACAACCAACAGAACCAAAACAACAAAACAGATGTTTTGATATAATCTAGGAATTACATACTCTGAGCTGGAAGCTGTCATGAACAGGGAAAACTCATAAAATTTGGAAAGTGACTTAGCTGGAGTCTCCTTACCCATACCCTCTCCTGTAACCCCTTGGAAACAAGAGAGAAGACAAGTGGAGTTTGTGGTGTAGGACAGAATTGTCACATGTCTACAACTAGCTAATGAGGGAGATTTGAATATTCTAATTCTCTACCTCAGGACCTCCTCTCATCAAGGTGGGTATCTCAGTCTATGGCTGAGCGAATTTCAGTCAGCCAAGAATGTGGATTTCCCTTCATGGGATCCCACTTTTGCTCCACCACACCTCTCTCTGGCAGGCTTCACTGTGCTGTTTCCCAGGGTTCTAGGAGAGACCTAGAGTGTCTTAGCAACTACTGCTGCCCTGAATTGTCATTGAACACTCTTGCCTCATACTTCCTCCCAGCTGAAGAGATGGGGGAGGGAATGTTGAGGAATAAACAAGACAGAGCCTTCCAGCTCCTGTCTGTTCCTTGTCTTTGGTTTGATTGATAGGTTGTTGAGTTAGGGATGGAAGGGGAGGTAGGATGAGGGAGAGTGCCTGTCTGAATGTCCCCAGCTTAGTGCTCATAAAAAGAATTTACAAACCACAGAAGCCAGTGATCTATCTGTGTTGACTCTGAGTTGGGGCTTAAACCAGGAGTTTAAGGTGAGACTCCTTTTTTTTCCAGATCGTATAAAGTAAAGCTCTAGTGGCTAAAGGATCTAGAAGTTTGCAGCCAGAAGCTCTCCTTGTCTCTTCAGCTGCTGCTTTTGATCTTGGAAGGTAGAAACACTGCACTGTGCTTTCCCCATGTTTGTGTCTCAGCTTCTGCTGCTCTCAGAATGCTGCATACACATATTTACCACTTCCCCCATTAGTTTAGGAGACAAAACTAAAGTGTGCTCTTTGCTCTTTCCCCTTCCGATCATGTTTGCTATCATATCCTGTGTTCTAAGAGCATCTTCCTTTGCCCTTGATTTTGTTTTCTTGCCCTAGTTTATGCCTTCCATCTCATTTCTCTCGTGTTGCAATCCCTCATTGCTCAACCAAGGTCAGGTCTCTTTTATTCCTTCTGATCCAGGGCTTTCTCTCTTAACACCTTCCTCCTTCACAAGCTGTTCTTTCTCAGCTAGTGATGAAATAGCAGTTAGCCTTGCTTCCTGAAGCCAAATACCCTCAAGCATTTTCCTTCTTGGAAAAAATTAAAAGAAGTTGATATTTATGTGGGACAGAGATGCATTCTCTAACTACAACGAAGTCTGAGCTTAATTTATTTTTTCTTCAGCAGCTCTGTTTTCCATCCGGGTGTTGTAATTCAAGGAGGGCCCTGAGAAAGATTATCTTGTCCAATCTCCTCACTTTATAGAAGAGGGAACTGAGACCAGAGAGGTCATGTGACTTACCTAGACTCTCACAGGTAGTCAGTGGCAAAGCCAGGTTTTTGTTTACCAAGTTCTTCTGGCATATTGTTACTCTGGGATTCTTAACAAATCCTTCATTGTTACGAAGGATTCTGTTTTCCCACTTAAAGACTACCTCAGAAACATTGGATGTAAATGCCTAGGTGCTCTTAAGACTGCTTTCATTTGTTTTCTATACCGATTTTAATATTGTAGGCACTCAGTAAACAAAGGATCTTTGAGTTTCACTTTCTTTGGTAAGGTGATGATGTTTACAAAGAACAACCATTTATAGCTGGTGCTGAACCTCCCCTCTTATACATACAGACGGAAAGTTACTTTTTAAACTGCTACTTTGAGTTTGACTTCTTGAGAGTGTGTGTGTGTATGTGTTCTGGAGTATTGCATTCAGTCAAATTTTCATTGTAATCATCGAGGCATCGCCAGTTCCCTCTTTATTTGGCAATTGCAGGTATGAAAAAAAAAAACCCTGCCCTTGTGCTTCTTGGATATATCACTAATAGGCAGACCGTAAATGTATTGTGGATATTAACTGTTTTGTAAAGAGATGATACTGTTAGATACCATTGTCATCTTTCATTCATTCTGTATATTAACTGAGTGCATTTTACATTCCAGGTATTGTGCTTAGTACTGGGTGTACACTGGTGAACAGAACAGAGATGGTTGCTGCTCTTTGCTTACAGTTTACCATCTAGAGCAGAGTTCCTGAAATTGTGGTCCATAAAACCATGTGCATCATATCATCTGAATGTCAGAAATGCAGTCTTGGACCTTACCCCATATCTGCTAAATAAGTTTTAGGGGTAGGGGCCCAGAAATCTGTACTTCCAGAAGACACTCCAGATAATTGCTATATACTTTAATGTTTGTGAATTTTCTTTAACCATCATTAAAGGTGGACACTTCATAAGTTGGGCATTGGGAGCCGCTTCCAACCTAACACCAGTCTTGTAAACTTAAACTGCACATGAGCTCTTATGCATAACTTAGTGATTAAGAGTATGAAGTCTGGAGCCAAACTACCAGGGTTTGTATCCCAGCTTTGACACTTATTAACTGAGTGATATTGAACAAATTACTTAACTGAGC